GCGATATATATCCGGTTTTAACTGCAAGGGTATATAAACTTCGGCTCCGCCCGAAGTTAGCTTTCCTTTCTTGTTGAATATGATATCTTTCAAATGGCCGCCTCTGGCGTTGATGGCGTATTGTGCCCTTTTTGCAGCATTTTCCATCGTTTTCGCCAACATTTCGGCCGGAATAGCGGCTATTTCTTCACGAATGTTGTCCTTGAGCTCTTCTAGGGTCCTTGGCTTGTTAACGTAAACCTTTGACTTCAAATATCCCCACAAGAAGAAGTCAGGCGGCGTCAAATCGGGCAAACGCGGTGGCCAGTCCAAATCACCACTTTTCGACATCAAACGGCCCAATGACCGTTTTCGAACTAATGCCGCACCAAACTGTGACTTTTTCGTCGTGAAGAGGCACTTCTTGAATCTTCTCAGGATTTTCAGTGGCGTAAATACGGCAATTTTGCTTATTTACGGTCCCATTCAATGTGAAATGGGCTTCATCGGACATGATAATTTTGATAATGCAAAAAGGGCACAATACGCGATCAACGCCAGAGGCGGCCATTTGAAAGATATCATATTCAAAAATTTATGTAAACAAATCTACTTGGAACAAATTAAATGATTAAGATTGCCAACCGCCAAATTTTTATTTTTTTCTTTGATTTTTAAAAAAAAAACATGGGTCCGTCGAATATGGGCAACCCTGTATTTATTTTGTATTAATATTTAGATGAAAATACTAGCTAGTAAGAAATTGTTGAATTTTGTAGAATCAGTATTTAGTTTTTATGGTAAATACCATAGATACCATATGTATCTTTTCCGATCGCACACATACCGTACGCCAGATATCACACGCTTTCACGTCATAGGCTACGACTTACCATTCGCAGCGATTCAAGGATAACCCATACAGGCTCGCCACCGCAACGAAGTGCTCTCAGACTCCATTCCCCTTTAAGCCTGTCCTTTTTTCACTAAACGAAAAAAGCCCGCAGCATATAACGGAGCTGCAATTGCCTACAACAAAATGCCAGCTGCAGCAGCGCTTAACTGCTTCGCGTTTTGCGTATCGATAAAGATAAAGATTTATCAGACGGCGAAGCAGAGCCTCGATAGTGGTGACTCAAATCCTTGCTAACATGGATATGGCCGAGGACGTCCATGTTTTAAAAAAGGAGAGTAGTTAACAACGGTGATCTGAGATAAGGACACGAAGACGGACGACGCATATGGTCTTACGACGGGCGTTGGCCGACGGCTGTGATCTGTGCGAGTTAGGGTAACGACTAATTTCTTCTTATCTTAAGTTAGTCAGTTCTGAGCTGACAGCGGAAGAATAAAGGCACCTCTTCCAAGTCTTATGTTTTATTCCTAATCGCCGTTGGAGGCATTACTGTAGCCACGACCCGGCTACCAGTTTACAAGAAGAGGATCAGCAGCATCATCGTCACTGATCGTGGCCACCACCTGGTCTTGATCGATGACCTGCATCATTACAGAAGTGCAGAGACATCTACAAAGTGTCCGTCCGTTGTGGGCAGCAACTTGCCGCATCGGTTTCGTCAGAACCCACTATTCCGTGAGCAGCACGTGCCACGGTGGAACTCTCCTGCAAGAGCTGTGCAGGTGGAGAATGTTGTAGGCAAACACGCTGCCACAACTAAACCAAACCTTATCTTATATATAACAATATAACAGGCCCCGTTATACCACGCAAAGTGTCGATACAACTAATAGTACATGCACGTCGCGGCATCAAGCTCGACACCAGTAATTGATGACAACGCCATCTGCAAGTATGACTCGGATGCCAGTAATTTTTTAGGGAAAAATCCCTGCGTCCCTGCCCGTCTTTAGACAAAAAGTATCGGGGATCGACATGAGACTTCTCATAGACACGGGTACGGCCAAAAATTTCATCCGACCATACGAAGAATAAAAACGCGTCCGTCCGGTAAAACCCCCGTTTAAACTTCATTCCATTCATGGGGTCACAACTATAATGAAGAAATGCTTCATATCAATTTTTAATTTAAGGGCTACATTCTTAATTTTACCTAATACATACGTCCTCTTTTGATGCAATCATCGGTGTCGGCCTGTTAAAACAGGTGGGTGCAACACTTTGCCTGACTTCCGGCCACCGCAAATGGAGCACCAAGAATCTTACTAAAGTGGACTGCTCGGGTGCACCAGTTTTAGTAAAAAAAGCCTTTTCGAAAATGCCAAGCAACAGGAAAAAAGCCTTCGCAGACCCAAATGAGGCCCTAAAAAAAGGAATAATCCAGAAGTCGAGAATCCCCTACAATAATCCCCTAACTAATAGATAAAAAGGGCACCGACAAAACTGGAAGGCGGAAACTTCCTTTTCCGTTAACGAGATTCGCAAATTGTCATTCTGATTCAAAAATGCAGCCAGCATTTTCCAAAGAATAATTGACGATGTACTGCGAGAGCAGATCGGAAAATTTTTCTATGTCTATGTTGATGATGGTATCGTCTTCTCAGAGGACGGAAACTCCCACATCCGGCAAGTAGATTACCAATGAGTAATATTTATTAAAGAAAAATGTGCTTTTTAGGGTTCATAGTTACCAACAACGGGACTACTACAGAACCGAAAAGTCAAAGCCATCCAGGAAAAAGCGGAAACTAAGTGACAAACCTGTAAAGAACTAATTTTCTGCTTTCCGCTCACAACAATTTGCCGCGGCTAGCTCGCAGAGTTTGTGGGTCTGTTCCACCGAATTTATAGTTCGACGTGATTTCTCGAGCCCAGAATTTAGAGGTTTTTCCCAAATACAATATGAGTTCTTCCTTGATCTCAACAACAGGCTCCGCTCCATATCCTTACTGCTCCTCCTAGTTTCGCACGGCTCCGTCGTCGGGTCTTCCTGTTGGCCATTCCTGGTGTCACGGTCGCTGCCGCTGCCTCTAGCTATATTGCCGAAGGTTTCCCTAACCGTCCCCCTTTCGCTGGCCACACGCAGGCCTTCCTATCTTTCAGAACACCCCCTTGGGTCGTCTGCGACTGGTCAAAGACTCGGCAGCGCTCTTCCCCTCCGCTACACCAAGGCAACACGCGCATACACGCTAGCGAGTCCGAGGTGGGGGTTTGTTAACTGGGGGCTTGCTCCTCTACACTCCTTGCTCCACCGTTGATGCTAACCCCGCCACACTGTCTAAACACGTCTGCGCTGGCGTCCCGAGAACCGTTACGTTCCACGTCGTTTCTGCTTTCTCCCGGCTGCCCCCCTCAATTCTCCTTCATCTTTACTTTTCCCCCATCCCCCGGACTGCATGTGTGAAATAGTCCCAGCGCCTTCGCACCCCCTCAACCCCCCTTCCTTGACATTGCCCCATGCCACCTGTCTTGGCGTGTGGGGAGACTAAATCACATTTCCCCTTTTTTCGGCAAACGAAAGAAATGGTTTTTTTTTTATATATTTCTTATATACTACTATTAGTAGTATATATACTACTATTACTACTACTATTATATAGTACTATTTTTTCCCATATTAGTATTATTTTATATATTGTTTATTGTATATATTTTTATACCTGTGCAATTTTAAAACAATATATTTTTATATTGTTTTTTATATTATTTTTTTTATAATTTTGTCCAAAATTGTTCAACGCTGTGAAGGAGAAATCTTATTTTATAACAATAAAGCAAAGCTAACTTCGGGCGGAGCCGAAGTTGATATACCCTTGCAGCTAAAACCGGATATATATCGCAAACATCGGATATAGTTGGCCGATCCTTATGATTACATCATAATAAAACCAATTTATTACAATACAAAATCTAAAAAAAGTCCCAAACTTCTATCTTCAAAAATACGAAAGTTGATATTTCTACCAAATACCATTTCCGATCGTTCAGTTATATGTCAGCTATAAGATATAGTCAACCGATCCTAATGAAATTTTGTAGGTCGGATTAACTGACCAAAAATGGAATGTGTACCAAGTGCCAGCTTTCTATCTTCAAAAACACGAAAGTTGGGTCATTTCCGATCGTTCAGTTATATGGCAGCTATAGGATATAGTCAGCCGATCCTTATGAAATTTGGCATGTCATATTATTTTGCCAAAAATAGCTCTCATATTAAATTTGAACTCTCTAACTCTAAAAACACCAAAGTTATACCATTTCCGATCAATCAGTTATATGGCAGCTATAGGATATAGTCGGCCGATCCGAGCCGTTCCGACTTATATACTGCGTGCAAAGAAAAGAAGGGTGTGTGCAAAGTTTCAAGTCGATAGCTTTAAAACTGAGAGACTAGTTTGCGTAGAAACAGACAGACGGACAGACGGACATGCTCATATCAACTCAGGAGGTGATCCTGATCAAGAATATATATACTTTATAGGGTCGGAGATGTCTCCTTCACTGCGTTGCACACTTTTGGACAAAATTATAATACCCTCTGCAAGGGTATAAAAAGCTTTGCTAGCAACAGTTCTTAAACAAATGAAAAACTTCTCTTCCCTATCTTTATTTTCTATGGAGAAAACTTTTTTCCAAACCAATTTCTGAAAAAATTTTTCTCAGTGGAAACATTTTCGCTTGGGCAAAACAACAACAACGACCCTTTAAACTCCTTTAAAAATTATCAAATTTGGCTGCTTTTTATTTGTAGGTGTAGATTAGCCATTGGAACCGTTTGGCATCAAATAATTTTCCAAAAACATTAACGAAATTTTCCAAAAACACTAACGATTAGCGATAACATAGTCTCTCAGATCCACGCTATATGGCTATATCGACTCGGCTGTTGGTGCTGATCAAGATTTTACAAATTTTATGGGGTCGGAGATGATTTCTTCTCTATGTTACATGCATTTACACGACTACAATATACCCTTATACTCTTGTAACCTGCGAGTCCACAGGCCGCAGTATACAAACAGAGAATTAATATATATATTATTTCAAATACTCTGATTGTAGTTTTAAAATACTAGTAGTATTAAAAAAAAACACAAGTTCTTACCTCGGCAACCTTTATAAAACGTCCTCTTCGATTTTGTTTAACATCAAGATAAAACCGCTTTGATTGTATTTGAAGCATTTTAGTAGCCAGTTCTTGCTCCACTCCAGTGCCAACTAAAATTGTTGATAAAATTTTATGACATGTTAAATAAAACAACGCCAGTTTACCTTTGCACGTAGTGTCGAATTCGTTTCTAGTCGAACCTTCCAAATTTCCCATATTGTACTCTAAAATATAGAAATGCATTTTGATTGGGTCATAATTAATTACTTACGTTAGTAACTTACTTGATCCTGAGATTCCTTCATCTCCGCTTTCTAAATCTGACATTATTTATTATTATCTTGATTTAATGTAATAAAACTGTACTGATTTTTTGAATTTTTTATTCTTGAGTTTATCCTTTTATGAAATAGTTTTCTGGTTCTTCGGATTATTTCCAAGGAATAAAATTGTAATTGTACGTATTGTAGGTTTTTCTTCCGTTAAAAGACTTTTTGTTCATGCAAAAGAAGTTAAAGGATTTATATATTCAATTGAGTTATAAAATAAAAATATTGAATTTTGTAATAGCACATTGAGATATCAATGATTATCCTTAGTTTATTCCAAATATTCAAGAGATTAATTACACAGCCACACAAAAAAAAATATTTTTTCGGGTCTGGAGGTCAGACCATGTTTACTATATGTTTTCGGGGTCGCTGAATCTGAATCCGAGGTCCAAAAACCCCTAGCACGTTAGAGTTCTGACATAACCTCAAAAAAACTCATACAAAATTATATTCGAGTCCGGGGGTCAGACCATGTTTACTTTATGTTTTCGGGGTCGCTGAATTCGAATCCGAATCCGCTGAATTCGAGTCTTAAAAACTCCAGAATGTCAGGGTTACGATATATTCTCAAAAAACCTCATAAAAAATTATATTCGAGTCCGGGTGTCAGACGATGTTTATAATATGTTTTCAACCGGACTCAAATATAATTTTGTATGAGGTTTTTTAAGGTTATGACGTAACCCTGACATTCTAGAGTTTTTTAGACCTTTGATTCGGATTCAGCGATCCCAAAAACATATAATAAACATGGTCTGACCCCCGGACTCGAATATAATTTTGTATGAGGTTTTTTAAGTTATGTCAGAACCCTAACGTGCTAGGGTTTTTTGGACCTCAGATTTAGATTCAGCGACAACGAAAACATATAGTAAACATGGTCTGACCTCCAGACACAAAAAAAATATTTTTTTTTGTGTGGCTGTGTAATTAATGCGTTAAATGCATATAAGATTTGCATGCATATGAAGTTAATTAAAAATATATTTTTTGTGCGAGTGCAAGGGTAGGTTTAAATGGCATGAAATTATATGCCATTTAAATCTGCCGTCGACCAATGCCAATACCAATGTAGGGCCAGAGATACCTTTTGTAAGTAAAAGAAGTTACGTTCTTCATCTTCCATCTGCTCGACAAGCAGGATTATGGACCTCCAGTTAAACATTAAAGTCGGCTGGATCTTTTGGAAGAGAAAATAATGGTGAATGTATAACAACACCAATGTGACACAGAGTAGTGCACTTCCTCAAATGAAAGCACTGGGGATCCCAGAGATCAGCCAAAATGATTCTTGGCGGTTTTTACCCCTTTTCCCAGAATGCACCGACATGCGGACATCGGGGCGGAATACATGAACTTATTCGAACAACCCTCCACGCCAGTAAATCCAAAAATTTGGCAGCCGTAAACTGGCAGGGTGGCTGGATGGCTTCTAGCCTCTATAGACGCTCTATGCCTGTATAATCGAATAAGTCTATTAAGTTTATAGTCTATTATATTTAATAGTATATTAAAATTTAACGGCGCCGGCGTAAAATTTCTGATACGACCGTCTACACACAGATGACCAAGCTTGTCTAAGCAAGAAGAAGAAGATGCAAGTACGCTCATCGACAACACCACCGAGAGATCATCATTCATCAGCTCACTTGGAAGAGCACTACAGGAGAGGATGTCCGCCGGGCTCATGGGCCTGAGAAAATGCATGCACTCCGTCGTTCCGTTTAACTCCTGGATCAATGAAACTCAGTTGGCAATGAAAAAATAAACTCATGTGAATTCCTCTCTAATCAGTGCTCTTAGAAATGAGTTGCAACCAATCTAAGAAATGCAGAATATAATTCTGACGCTACACGACCAGTCGCATTATGTCAATTATTCGTATGTTTGTTTAAGGGGTTATATACAGTTGTGATATATGAAAAAATCGATTTTTTTTTTATTGCATATTCTTTAAGTATATTCTATTGGGAATACTCTCACAAAAATATCATAACGATCGGAGCATTAGAACCGAAGCTGTAGCTATTTATAGCGCACTATCTGCATATAAAACTTGAACAAACTTGAAACTTTAAACGCGATTATCTCAGAATCTTTTTTTTGGGAAATTACCTTTGCGGTGGACATGAACTAAAAAACTACTAATCCGATCAACACCAAATTTTAACCACTTATTTATTATGAAACTCCTTTTAAAGCACAAAAAACGAAAATCTTATACCTTGAAAAAGTAAATTTTTTGTTTCAAACGTCGCCATTTTTTTTTTATTCAAAATTTTAAAAAATCCCTCGTTCACGGACTAGATAATACAATATACTAACTAAACTTTTTTGAATTTTGGATTTCGGATGAACCGTTTTCGAGAAATCATGTCCACCGCAAGACACCATCGAAAAAAGACGATTCGGGAATTCGGCTATAACATTTTTGTTATGTAATATCTTTTTATGAAAAAATTTAATTAAGTACCCAGAAACATGTACTAAACAACGTCGGTAAAACATTTTTCATAAATATTTTCTATGGTGTCAAAAAAAAATCGATAAAAATCCATATTTTTGCGCGGTACAACTGTATATAACCCCTTAAGGGGTTACTTACTTAATTTACTTTTTCAAGGTATAAGATTTTCGTTTTTTGTGCTTTAAAAAGGGAGTTTTCAAAAAAATGGAAAATCCCTCGTTCACGGACTAGCTAATATCATAATAAATATGTGGTCAAAATTTGGTGTTGATCGGATTAGTAGTTTTTTAGTAATCGTGTCCACCGCAAAGGTAATTGCCCAAAAAAAAGATTATGAGATAATCGCGTTTAAAGTTTCAAGTTTGTTCAAGTTTTATATGCAGATAGTGTGCTATAAATAGCTACAGCTTCGGATCTAATGCTCCGATCGTTATCAATTTTTGTGGGAGTACACCCAATAGAATATACTTAAAGAATATGCAATAAAAAAAAAATCGATTTTTTCATATATCACAACTGTATATAACCCCTTAAGCATGGTTCGAACTAAGCCATATATATGGGCACCAAAACCATGCAAGCATATTGTGGCATAGCGACATATCTCCGCGCGATATATCTCCGCCGGGCCCATAGCGACACAATCATCGTTGAAGCTATGAGAATTCTATAAATAAAATCCTATCTCTATTAGGTATTTATTTTTGCCTGTATGTTCTAGAAAAACGAAAAAAAAAATAAAAGTACAAGGCCACATATCATACATATGCATGTATATACCTTTTTTTTCATTGCTAAATTCATTGCTGAAAGGTTTCATGATTACATGATTACAATACATGATTACAACGCTGCTAAACTGACAGCCCAATTCCCCCTAATCTACACCCCTAACCTAAACCCAAAAGATTAAGATTACTACTACAAGAAAAACATACACAACTACGAACGTCTGACTGGTATTATGAAACTTATGAAACATCAACATCAATGCAGCCCTTTATAAAATCTTCCCTTAGCAAAAGAGAACGAATCATCATTCCACGACTCAGACTTGGCAATCTCAGAACGAAAAGCAATCTATGCCCATTGTGCAACGATGCACAGGTGAACATCCGACATACAAACCGGCCCCGGCCTAACCATACAACGTTCCGTACTCCCCCACAACTCTATTACCACAATAGACAACTCCACAATTAAAAACCCAGGACACAAGTTCCTTGACAGCTGCCAAATCACTTACAAAATATTAATGCTTACAAATGTACATAGTTAATATCTACTATATATTATCTAGTAATAATAAACACTCAAAAAGTTATTGTAAAGCTCTATCCTTTGCAAATTATGCTTAAAACATTTAAGTAAAATGTATAAGCCGAGAACTTCTCAATTGAGACGAACTACTAGACGAAGGCCTTAGCTGCTATGACTCTTAGCCATAAGTTACCTCTTAGTTTAGAACTATTTGTTAGCTTTAGATAAATAAATAAATAAATGACAAGAAAGGAAAGCTAACTTCGGGCGGAGCCAAAGTTGTAATACCCTTGCAGTTAAAACCGGATATACATATATCGCAAACATCGGATATAGTTGTCCGATCCTTATGAGCATATCATAATTAAACCAATTAATTACAATAAAATATAAAAAAATACCAAAGTTGGTATTTCTACCAAAAAACGTTCAGTTAAGATATAAGATATAAGAAATATAAGATTATATAAGATTCTTATGAAATAGTTGGATCAACTGAGCGAAAATAGAATCTGTACTAAGTTTCAGCTTTCTATCTTCAAAAACACGAAAGTTGGGTCATTTCCGATCGGCCGATCCTTACGAAATTTAGCACGTCGTATTATTTTGCCAAAATTATTTTGCTAAAAATGCTCTCATGTAAAATTTTAACTCTCTAACTTTAAAAACACCAAAGTTATACCATTTCCGATCAATCAGTTATATGGCAGCTATAGTCGGCCGATCCCAGTCGTTCCGCATATATGTATATATGTAACCCGGAAAGGCCGGGATCGGCCTACTATATCCTAGAGCTGCCATATATTGATCGGAAGTGGTATACATTTGTTGTTTTTTAGAGTTAGAGCGTTCGGATTGTTTTGGCAAAATAATACTCTACTCTACTCTACCCACCACCCACTACTACACTCCTGTCCAAAATTATACACCTTTAAATTTTTTGTTTCGGCGCTCGCAGCAAAATGCGAAGACGAAAACGATCAAAACAAAGTATGAGGAATGATAGCACAATGTTTAATGCACAAAATGAGATATTTTTGACTTTGTTTGCATCTCCCGTTTTCGAGTAACGGTAAAAAAAGGACACACGCTTCAATTTTGACTACGCTGCACGTGTATCAAAACTATACGACACATTTAGATTTTAGCTGCTGGCGCGAAAGATTTGGTGCGTATTTGTTTTATTTAAAGTTCTGCTAAACATTTAATTAGTTTTATTTAGTTGCTTATTAAGAGAAGAAGAAAAGGGAAGAATAAGAGCTTACAACGATGCCGGATTCAATATTAGCAAAATATCGCGGATAATGGGTCGAACACGCTGTGTTATCACTAAATTTTGAAACGATCCGGATGGATATGGTCTTAAACGTAGGTCCAACAGAAAACCCTAGCTGTCCAATCGTTATAAACGAAGCATATTGAAGAAAGCAC